CTCTTTATTTTTCTTCAACTGAATATGTGTTTTCCTAGTTATTGCTACATCGGAAGAAAAAACATAACGCCGTGCATCTCGCGGTCGAATCGCATGTTATGGAACCGTTTAAATGAGAGCTCCCTCGTAAAGGGGTAAACGCGCGGCAGTCTCTGCGTGTGCTTAACGTGTGAAACGCATTGACCCTTCCTTTCCTAACTCCGTGACGGCACTGCATATCGGATTTACGAACGTCACTGTATTACCGGCATGCCAGAGCGCATCCCATGCGTCATTCTACCGTGGATCAACCCTCGGCTCGTTACTAGTTAATAAAAAATAAATTCTCAACGGATTGTAAAAGGCGTTATTACGCCTTTGTACTAAATCTTCCGTGCGACATAGTCACCTGCGCTTAGGTAAATCGAATGAAAGTGCGGTCATATATTTTCAGTGAGACGTTTAATCTATTTATGCAGAGACGTTACCTATACAGGCTATTCCTATTTATATATAAGATGTATCGTGAGATAAGTAGCTCAATGATTACTTCGAACACGAAGGAGGCGGCGAGTGAAGCAATTTCAAGTTAATTTTTACACAATCTTCTATAATCGTCTTCGGTTCTCGACTGAAAAGTATTTTTCACTAGATTTTGATATACACGATAAGAGTCGTTAAATTTTCTATATACTTTCGCGCGTTTAATAAACGTCTGTAAACTATTTTTTATAAAATAATATAAATTCAGCGCGATATACTATATTCAGGCTTCTTTCATTTTCTATTCTTATTGAATAATTAATTAATCAATTAGTTAATCAATTAAAAAGTAATTTCTTTTTGTACGTCGTTAATTCATATTGAAATCAGAGAATAAACGAGTACCAATTGACCAATAGTGATGCGAAGACATTTATTACAAATTGAATCGCCCCATTTTGTTGGCCGTTAATGAATGGCCACTCTCGGCAAATGGTAGGCGACACTCCAAGCCGACCGCGTATTAATCCTCTTCCCCGAAATACACCGAAAGGTTCAAAATGCGCGTTAATTTTACGGGAAACGTACTCCACACATGTACGATCGTCTCTAATGGATTTTAGAGCAAACAATTTTAGTGCGCGTAAGGATAGCGTAAGAAAAACAGACGAGACGCGCGCACGTGTACGCGTGCAGATCTCGAGAGAAAGAGAGAGAGAGAGAGAGAGAGAAATTTCACCTGCGTGGTTTGATAACGAAACATGCCTAGCGATGATAATTGCCTATACGAACGCGACGTTAGTTCGACAGCAAACGCCGTAATCACTTTAGCACCGGCGACGCTCAACATCCGCCATCCGCCCGGAGGATTCATTAAGAGTCACTTGTGTCGCGCGGGCGTCTAACGGAAGGCGCGTGCGTGCGCAACCGCAAGCTCGATGTATATATATAGCTCGTCCATAACCGCCCGATTCTAATTTGCCGGCTCTCGCCGCAATTTCACGGGGGCGCGCGAGATTAAATTGTGACGTTCAGATCCTGATGCACCGCTGCTGCGCCGCGGGAAAACGTCGGGACTCTACAGCTGGATCGCCGGCGATGTAAAACGGCGCGAAGTAACGGGACGATCAAGTTCCGGGTGGCATCGCGCGAGCAGCGCACCGTGCATGCCTTCCGATGTATAAAAATACGGAGTCCGGTAACGATATACGATAGAAAAATAAAAATGAACAAGAATACGCGTTTCACCCCGGGCGAAACGCACGTGCGAGTAGCTCTCGTCGTTACGCCGAACTAACGTGCGTCGTAAAACGCATCGTAACTTCCGTCCATCGGAAGGAGTAACGGGATTCGAGCGCGGTTGGGGGATGAATTAGATCGATATCGGGAGCAACTCTGTCCAAGGTTGAGCATGGAAATGACTGTCTAGCGAAAATAATCGACTCCCGTTCGATATACGCTTGTAAAATGGGAATTAAAAGAAAGTAACCGAGCTTTCAAAAGTAAAATTCGAGCAATTTTCAAATTTATTTCCCTCCGTTACTCGCAGACTCTCTTCCGGTCGGGATTTTGAATTTCAAGGACCCACGCATTCGCGTTCTGTACTTCGCTTCATTTAACAATTAAATGTAACGAGATTCTCAGTCCGCGATGACGTCGCGCGCGCTTTTCATGAGGCGAGCAAGGCGCAATATTAAAGCGGCCGTATTCAGGACTACAGATATGAGTTATGAATACGGACTTATTCTTCATTATATTCGAAACAATCATTAAACAATCAATGGCCACACGTTAAATGCTCATTTCACATTTATATAAGTAAATTTGCATATGAATCAAATAAATTTGAATTTTTATTGATGAAACATTTAATACCTATCTAGCTTAATCTATAGCTATTACTGTCAATTTAGCGGACTTGAAGATGTGAAATTAAAGTGCAACCAGGTCTCCTTGCAACAACCTGTAATCGCCGCATTTGTCTCAATCGTCATAATTACGAAAAAATCTAAATCCACGTGCGTAAATCAAAAAAGACATCTCTTTAAAGTAAGCTTCTCTTAAATCTTAAGAGGATTACTTTCTTCAATCCTGTCCGCGTCATTCGTAATTAACGAAAAGTTTTCCTACGAAATTCGTATGACTAACGATATCCATATTTTGCCGAGACTGCTGATAAATACAGAGCAAGAGAAACAAATGTGTGTGTGTGTGTGTGTGTGTGTGTGTAACTCCCATTGCGTCACTTGTAAAAAAATCTGTGAGAGTAAGACGCACCAGTTTTACAACGATACCTAACAATGGAATAAGTTTACCGCTTGTTTTGAGTTAATTAACGTTAGAATTATTCATCCGTCCATTGTAAAGTTAATCTTTTTTGAAAAACAGCATCAAGCTAAAGAAAGCTTCAAACTTCTTATTGAAAATATTATAAGTGCTTAACTTACTTTTTCTCATTATGCTATCGATCTAAAATGCAAAACGTCTTAAATATCTAGCGTTCTCCATTCACAAGAATTCAGAAGAAATGAAAGGTACACATTTAAAAGGCTTTGTTCTTGCCTTTTTCATTTAAGGCCTCCCGGTCAACACTCGGTCGTCGACGAAACATTGGAAACGGAAAAGCTTCGCTCGCTGGCAGAGACTGCTTAGTGCATATAAGCTTTTAGAGAAAAAGATATGCGGAATGCCGTGCCTTTTCATTCACCGACGCTCTATAGCGGAGGACACGAACAGAGAGAGGCGCAGAGAGATGTGGAAAAAAAACTGACGAAGGTATATCCGCGGATTTTCGAGTGTCCAGGGCCACGCGATGGAAGCGCGCGAAAAAATAAAACAATTTCTATTCGCAATTTCAGTAAATTCCATTCGCAAAGACAATATATTCATTGCACATGCGGGGTGTTGACAATTGTTACGATTAATAATCCGAGAAAATATACCATTTCTCCATTTAGCACGGAATTCGTGGGAATTCAACGCCACTGGTATAGCCAACGTCGACGCTGCGCCGAGCTCTTTGTAGCGGCTTAAATAAAAAAAACCTCGTAACTATATAATGATATTAATGGCGTAATAAAGGATTCGTTACAATTTTCTACTTAAAACATCGCGCACAAAGGTTCAATGGACATTATTAATAGATACCCGAGAAGTGTATATACATCATCAGAATATGCCGAGTCTTTGTAATTGAATATTCTTCGATTCTGATATAAAACAGCCTCGTGTATCGCGCGTTATCGATATAGCAAATGCTAAAGCGTGTTTGACAGAGTTCGGTAAAATAATTTAAATTTTAAATGTACCGATTAATATTATAACCGTAAACGATTATTTATCGATAACGAAGATACGCGGTGTATTATCTCCGTTGCTGAAATAACTTTTTCGTGAATTATAATTGCTCTTATATCATCTTTATACTATTCTTCATATCTTTTACCTTTAACCTTTACATATTTTTTGCCAGACATTTCATTTTATCACCGAGTAGATTTTTAGAAAGAGCAACTCTCTTCACCCCTAAACATTAACTGTAGTAATATCCTCCTAAATATAAACAATTTTGAGGATTTAAAATGGAAAAGCGCATAAAGGTCTTCTAAAAACTTTAATGGATTATTATTTCGATTTAATAAATAAAAACGTTCTTCTTTATTTCAACATGCAAAATGGTTAAACATTTATCTTTAGCTGCGAATTTGATAATGCATTCGCGTTTGTTTGCCATTTTCTTGTTAGCTATGTAAATAATTAATCACATTATACAAGGCGAAATTTTTACGTAGAATTAAATTCAGCAGCCTTCAGCGGAGGTTCTAAAATAAAATTCCGTAACCTTCAATAGTATTTTAAAATTCTTATTAGCAAGCTTACTTCTATTCTTAGCCGATTATTCCGGAGTCACTCATCCAGTGATTCGACGCACACGTCGCACACGTGTAATTAGTGGTATAGCCCGAATTTTAACGGCGCGCGAGATAAGCGGCGCGAAGCGCCGTACTCAGTAATTACGAGAGCCTTACGTGGTAATCATAAAGGTAGGACCGGCGCCGGTTATAACTTTCGCGTCGCTTTACACACCTTTTCGCCCGCGTTAAGGCAACGCTGAAAGCGAGCAGCAGGAGTACCTATTTACTAAATGTCAAAAAATGCGACGTCGTCGTATATATACAGGTATATATATAATACAAATTTCACGACCGTTGCAGTGGGCGATACTTGTATAAGTATTAGGTCAAAGGTAGATACATTGTCGAGATACAAAAGTGTACAACTGTAATTCTTTTCGCCACTCTGTGTCTAAGCGATAGCGAAGACTTCTACCGTCCCGATTGTGTGTGTTTGGTTTCAACCTCCGCGCTCTTCGACCGTGTTTATTTTGTTCGGTTGTGGAAGTAGGCACCAGAATGCCCGTAATGTTCCAATACGAGATATTTGCCAGCGACCCTTCTCTCTCTCTCTCTCTCTCTCTCTCTCTCTCTCTCTCTCGCGAGGAAACATCTCCGCGTCGTGAGACTGTAGTCAACTACACGTCAGTCTCGATTCGAACGTACACATTGAACGTACAACCGTACATATTGATTACAACGTGCTTGTTAACTATTCGACCATGTGGGGAAACTTGTGTCTTTTTGGCGTATTTATTATGTATATCATTCTGTATTTACATGATATACATAATTTCAAAACGAGTAAAGAAATAATTTTATAATATTTAGTGACATATCTGTCTTGTACGTTACATTTTTAAGAGAAATATCATACGATGGAGGATTACACAAGGTATGTTTTTATAAAATTACGAATAAACTATTATCCTCTATAAGTTACAATGCTTATTAAAAATAAAATAGTTTGCGTGATTTTTAATCATCTTTAATTAATCTATAATTTACAACAATTTTAATGTAGAATATCCATGCCTGAATACATTATAACTGGATTTTTTGATTGACAAGTTTTCTCGATACTTTCTTAGCAGGTAAGTGAACGAGGGAAATTATATACTTATTTTAAAAAGATAAAAATATTATATGTATCTATATAAAACCGATTTTTTTTCAGCATTATTAAACCAGCATTGAAGTAAATCGATGTGAAAATGCATTCGAAAACACTATCCGTATGACCTGTACGAACTTGTGACAACAAAATTTAAATCTGGACAAAGGCTTGCGCGTAAAAAGGTCAGCTGAACTAAATAAGTGACAAAAGCTTGCAACCTATATTTTGACGATTTGATAAGGGAATATGTCCATGTGCTACCTCGACGCTTTAGAATGACGACAGAAAAAAGTGAAAAATTGAAATGTAATATTAATCGAGCGTACGCATCACGGGCGTACACATCAATTTTGAATCTGAGTTGTTATCTCTAACTGGTACAACAAAATTGTGCTTTATCTCTGCCATTATTCTTTGCCACATTTTTATCTTCTTTACAACTAGTAGGTACTTATTATCGATGATTCCTGCACAATTTTCCGTTTTCATTTGTGTAAATATAATAAATTATTCTTGCTTACGTGTCATAATAAAAAATGTCATCACATTGCCGTTATATTATCGCGTCAGGCTATATAATGTCAGACTATCGGATTTATCTCACATATTTTGTTTCTATCCAATTAATGTAATTGTATAATAATATTTAAAATGGTTTTAAAATATCTTGAATTGTAATAATTATGGTTTAATGGCATAAATTAGTTGATTATATAATTATTGACATACAATTTTACCCAAGAGTAAGGATTATTATGCCAATTGTTGTAGAAATTATTACCGTAGGAATATTTCTGCACAAATGTTCGTAAAATTGTACAATTAGAAAAAACAAAAAAAATATATTTTGTACTTTTTATATAAAAGATTATATTTTAAATTTATAATACGTCTTATGATATAATGTGAACATTATATGTATATGTGTGTACATCTATATACAGTAAATCTGTTAAAATATTTATTTATATATATTATAATATGTATCATATTATGTACATTATACTATAACATATATGACATATTATTATAAAATATGATAAATATACATATAATAATAATCCATCTGTGTATATACACGTATATATAACAATTTAAATTTATAAATAAGAACAACAATTGACATTTTAATCTAAAGCCAATTAGTAAATGTATTAATATTGCAAGTATATTTAAAAAAGAAGGGCAATATAATAATTCGTAAAAGTTCTTCAAAACCGGCAATTTGTCAAACATATTCTTATCACTACCTCTCGTAGTTTTTCCCTTGCGCAGTGTTTATTTATTGGTTGCTTTGACATTTCATGTGATTTATTAGATAAGATAGATAAATAAACCGTAAATCACGAAAGCGAAATGGAAATAAAGGGTATAGCATAGAAGGTATATAAAAGCATAAACAATGTAAAATAAATCTCCTGATTATTGCAATTTCGAAAATTTTTGATTATCCTTTTACACGATGCAACTACAATTTTATGTAATTCAGTATTATTTTAAATGTATTATGTACAACGTAAACGTATAATAAACACGTACAATATAGATATATTCTTCTTCTATTATTTATAAAATATAGAGTTATTTAAAACAATAGATTAAAACTTAAAAGCCAAAAAGCTAAAAAACGGTTTTTTAAAGTCCCTACCTATCTGCCTCCCTCTCGTTTCTACACGCTCTCTCCCGTGCCACATATTTATATTACGTTTTCATACGTGATTTCATAGAATATTCATCTCTCTCCCGACGCTACATAAATCCGCAGGATAGCTCCCAGGAGACACACGCATCCGATTCGTCGCGCGTCAATATAAACCGATATTAAACTTAAAAAAAAACAGACACATTCTTATTGTACGTTTCTGTTCATTGCCATAAATCGATTGTCAAAGGAACTATCAATGTTATTTCCAAGTATTACATATCGTATTTTATTATACGAGTATATGCTGTATCAAATTCAAGTATGCGTTTGAGAACCGGAACGAGAAAATTTAAATTTGAATAATAAGATCCTTTGACGAACATTATCTGAAATCTTCATCAAGCTTACAAAATGCTATTTATTTACACAATATTCAATCGTATATTCATTACACTTCGAAATGTCATAATCGTTATATCTCCTTTGAGCATTTAATGTTGTGACCTTGACTTCCGGCGCGCTTCATGAGCTGCCCACGCAAACTATGGAAAGGGCAATTCTGGACAGATTAGCATGAGACATGCCACCGCTGCACATAGACGAGAACCGGTAAGTTTATCTAGTTAACTGGTGTTCGCGCTCTCGCCTCGATTACGGCACGAAGGATCGTGAGGCGCTCAACCAGCAGCTGCCCCATTGAAGAAGATCTAAATACCATCCATGCTTGGAAATCTATTGCCGAGCAAGCCACACACAGGCGTGCCTCCTCAGAACACGTCTCCCTTTATTATCTACTTTGATACGAGCGCAAAATTATAATTGAATTAATCGAACAATCAACCGACCGAGAATTCAAGCGGACGTTATCATTATATATACTACAATATGCAATTAAATTAAAAGGGCTAATAGAAGGTTTAAGAAGTTAAACATAAATCAAAAACTTATAATTTTTATTTAGAAATTAATATCTTTATTCTATAAAAAATGTTGGTCTTCGGACAGTTAATAATAAGCTCGTGGTTTGCAGTTATCACGCAAAATATGCATTTTAATCAATATAATAATAATGTAATATACATATATTATTTTTCTTATTGATATATTTCAATTAATGTTTAGTTTTAATTTGCAAATTTGAAAATTTAATAACAGTTAATAAAGCAATATATGCATGCAATATTACAATGTTATTACTGTTCAAAATGGAATAAAATAAATTTTTAAGTAAAATAAATAGAATCCCTGACATAATGTAGACAATACACGCTGGTATTATGCAATCTAGTATTGTGAAAGCTTATTAATTACCGTGACGTATATTATTCAATCAAGTATGACTACATTGCTTAATTACACGCTTTTGCTATACGTAATGTGCTCGCAAATCACAAGCATAATACAATCCTAATCCAATATCAAACGGTCTGCGGCTCAATATGAGATTACTCATATTGCGAATGCGAGTTTATTTTTCACTACATTATCCACGCTTTTATTTAAACAGCACAAATGAATTTGTTCAACAGTGGATGGTAATGTTTTTTAACGATGCAAATTGTGCACATCGTTGATACTCCAGTTTCCAGAGAACATTTTATATTTACTCCAGGATATCGTGAACTCGAAATAGAGCAGACCATTGAGAAATCGGAGAGCAATTTACAATTACAATGCCTTTCTTAAGTACTACAAAGCAATTCCGTGAATCTCGTCGTTGTAGCTCTTTCGATCTTTTCAAATGCATGATTGCACGATCTCTGAAATTTGAATTGCTTTTGAAGCAAGGAATAAAGATATTATTCTCAATTATCCAGATTTATGTGCACAATGTATAGTCTAATAATACCAAACTGTTTCTGTTGTCATATATATGTTACTTAATAAAATTCTTTTTAGTGAATCTGTAAATTATGTGTCTTTGGACAAATACAAATCCAAATTGATTTTTTAATTTTTCTATTCTAAAAAATAATAAACAGGAAAAATTCAAAATTGAGAAGTTTATTCAGTTTCATTGTAGATACAGTGTCTGCAAAAAATAGTTTTTATTCTGTATATTTTAAACTCACAGAAACTTTATTATTAAACAGTTAAGAATAAATCACGTCACTATTTATAATTTACGTAGAGATTATTTTTTAACATTAATGTTAATATTAATGTTTTTTGTAATCATTCGTCGTGTCAAATTGATTGAGCGATTTGTAACATCAATTGACGTGATGTAAATCCTCTCGTATTTCCAGAGGAAATTACGATCCATTTAATTGTTACATCTCCTTGCGTACGGGATAAAGCTTCCGTTTCTGTACGCTAAATTTATACACACTCCCCTAAGCCGCAAACAGTATACGAGATGCCCCGCTTTTACTTATCGCGACCTTTTATCTTTCGGTATGTTTTGATTAAACTTTAAGTTAACTCTCTTAAGAATCTTGCGAAAAAAGAGATATAAGTATTATCTCAAGTATAAATAGTAATCATCAATTTTTTTAATAACTACTAATTAAAAGCAAGATATAATAATAAAATTTATTATAAAATATTTTTTTAAAACCTATATTTTATTCTTTATTTTTTTAAATATATATGTACAACTGCAATAATCTACAACAATCTACAATAATATTTCTTCATATAATATCTTGCACAGACAAATGTCAACTTTTTCTCAAAATTAGTTATTATTGTTCAATATTATTATAAATTCTTGTTTTTACATTTGATTATAATCATACAATATATAAAGCCTGTCTATATTTTTAATATTTTGCGTTTTATAATTCAATGATACGTTTTTTAATAAAAATTTTTTTATTAAATTTTTTATATTAAAACTAACATCTTTTATTTACAACAAAATAAAATTTTGTCTGAAGAAAATTTAATGGAAAATCATTAATTATAATATTTACAATCTTGAAGTTCCTAACGTTCCTAAGTTTTAAATATGTTTATATTTAAGATTTAAATTTTTTAAAATATTAATTTAAAATAAATTTAAAAAATAAAATTATATTATAAATTTTATTGTTATAAAAATGTATGACTATTAACGTTGAAATAGACAATACCTTGACATTTACAATACCTTATAATTTTGTTATGTAATTATTATTACATAATTGTGGATTAAAATATTTATATATTATTTATTATTAATTATATTTATTAAATTAATTTATATCATTATATCATTTATATTTAACCTTTAAACTTATAAATGCATTGATTTACAATTGACGAATACAAAAGTCTTATTTTTTTTTTTTAATTACGCCTCTGTGCTTAGAGGGGCTGATTAAGTTGAAGCAATAACGGAGTACTATCCAATTACCGTCGGATTAGCGTCCGGTTAGCTGGCAATGAGAAAACTTGTCTGCTTAGGACGATTACCGCTTAAGAGCCTTCAAATTATATTTACCTCAAGCTTCGTAATCCATGATTTACCGTGAGTAAATTTCTAACAGGCTTCCAATCAAGATCTCATCTTGCCGCGGTATCCTGCTCATTTTACCTGTTGCGATGAACGCGCGATTGTAGATTTTTAAAAATAATTGCGACGCCAATAATTCCTACCCGTCATTTTGTGCATTGTGATTCCGCAGTGATAGTTTAAATTTAAACACGCAAGAAAGGGTTACAATTCATTCTAAAGCATTTACATTTTACACAGCGGAAATAAATCGTGTACACACTTTTCATATTTAATTGTTTTTCGTACCCTACAGAGTTTTCCTTAAATTCAATTTCCGACAATCTTACGAAGGAAAATCGTCTTTTAAGATTTTTCAAGAAAGAGCCCGGATGTTTATCATCTGTTCTCTGCCTGTTTTATGCCTTTATTTATCACGTAACCCAGAAATGTTGAGCATTTGCCGCGCATCATAACAACACCCCGCTTGTACTTCATCATACAGTGCGTTGAAATCTCCCTAGCATCACCGTTTCGTTCTACGATCAGCTATCTTTCACGCTCCATGCTTTTCTGTGTAAGTACGTTTCATAGCAT